TTGGCCATCATTTTATGTAAGGTCATTGCTCAACTGAACTTTTCTTTTACGCAGAAATTGAAAGAACCACTTATGCAAATCAAAGGGAAATATGATTAAGGAAACAAAGAGGGCATGACATCCAAAAAGATTTCAAATCAAATAACAGGATGGGTGACTCTCAAGACAAATATATATCAATCTAACCATTAGTTCGGAGAAAAGAAAAACTACTTGGAAACTATGGTGAATTTAGACTCAAAAGTAACAAATTGACCATTGTAACCCAACTTATAATTGTAACAAAGTTTGAATTCAACCCATTGCTACTTGGTTTGTTGGACAAAAGTAGTTTTCAAGAAGGCTAAATGAAGATATGCCAATAAGCACTTAAAGTGTTCTTCGCCATGTACACAACTATCAAGGTACAAGGACATGTCAAAGAAGGTTAGAGATTATAAGATTGATTCCTTTTACTTTAATAGATGATGCAAAAGAATAATACGAGCAATTTCAAGCATAAAGCATATCCACTTGGGATAAATTGGATAATGCATTTCTTAAAGAATATTTCCCCAGATCTCTCTTTCTTTAAAAGAGGTATAAAATATTCACTTTTGGACAGAAGGACGGGGAATCACTTGGTGAAACCTATGAGAGATTCAAAAGAATCTTGACTATGTACCCAACATACGGTTTAGAACCTACAAATCAGATGCAAATATTCTACAATGGGTCAAAGCTCAATACAACAATTGATGGTTACTCGAACTTCAAAACTAATACAAAATTTTTAAGAATAATTTAAGTTATTGTTGCTAACAAACATTTGGAGCTATATGACAGGTTTTCTATTGCTAGAGAAATTCTAGTGGATCTAAAGCTAGTGGAGGACAACAACATAGAGATTGAAGAACAAGTAGCATCCAAAGGGGAAAAAGTTAATAGTTACACTCAAATTTGCTTAAGTCCAATAATTAGGATGTGAACTATGTGGCAGATCTCATTTCACAATACATTATGAATCTATTTTAGATATAGTAACCTAGGTAGTTACGATAAATTTCTTCAATAATCAAATTGCTCACTGACAAGAAAGTCCTTATGCAAGCACTTACAATATAGGCTTGAGGAACTATCCAAACATTTCTTGGAGATACATATAAGGTGTCCCTCAAAGACAAATAGGATACCATATGAGATCAACTAAATAAAATAAGGAAGACTAAGAGATAACACTTGAAAGTATGGCTTTCCAAAGTGCTCAAGTTCACGAGGAGACGAGGAATTCTCAAAGGAACACATTCGCATAAATAGAGAATATGGAAATTCAATTCGGTCACATAGCTCATTTGATTACACAACAACCCCTATGAAGTCTTATCAATGAGTTTGTTACAAATTTGAGAGATAATGTGAGACTTAATTAAATTACAACTAAAAGTCCAAAGGTTGATAACCCAACTCCTCTTCAAGAAAAAAAGGAAAAACATGAAGAAACAAAAGGAAAAATTACATAACCAATTGTTAGTTGGTCAAGTGGTGATTGGCGTCGGACTTGATAGGGAGGTCCACGATTTGATCCCCCACAACTTAAGAATTTATAAGTGAGTGAACTCAGACCCTTATCATTTTAAAATTTTGAGTAAATATGTAGTATGTCTCTCACTAATGTGTATTGCTCTTAAAAAAAAATTCTAAAGTGTAAAATACTTCATCGTGTTGACCCTCTGAATAAAGTTAAGAATGATATAACGAACATTTGGTTTGGTTCGAGTGAATGAATAGACTCATTTGTATCGAAAGTATCACTACATGATCGTGGTTTGAATGTCCTGTTAAAAAGTATCAACGATAGTACAAGTATATGTGGATGAGAAAGCTTCCACTAGATTCACACCTTAAGATTTTGGGTGAATACGTTGTGTGTTTCTCACTAATATACGTTGTTCTTAAAGAAAAACCTCAAAGTATAAAATACCTCCTTGTGTTGATCCTCCGAATAACCCCAACTAGGTTCTGATGCCATGATATAATAAGAATTAGGCTTAACTTAATCTTACAAAATTGATTACCTCAACATATAAACACATATTCAAATCATATATCATCCGATGTGAGACTCTTAACACATTCAACCATATTGTATTATCAACTTACAAATTATAATTTTTTATGTTTTGTCTATGTAAATATTTCATTTTCTCTTATTACTATATACTCCATCCGTTTCAAAATGACTGTAGTTTTAAGGGAAAATTTTTGTTTCAACATAAATGTCATTCTCACTTTTCAATGCAGTAATAATTATTATTTTTTCAATTGTGTCATATAATTATCACTATGTACACTATTTCTAATACATTAATAAGACTAATTTAATAAAAGTGCAATATTTTATAACAATATCATTGCATTCCTTAACTTATGTGCTTAACCTTAAACAAGTGTCATTTTGAAACAGAGAGAGTATATATTAAATAGTTTAATTGTTATATCTTGATAATATAAAAATATTTATCATTCAATAGAAATATATCATTCAATCATGTTATATAAATTTTCAGTATAATTTGACGGATAAATGATCGTTATTGTTAATCAATGTAAAACAAATTTATCACATTTTTTTCTTATATTAAAATGAAATATAAAATCATTTTAGGCAACAAATATACAACTTAGAATTGTAACCAATCTGTGTGGTTGGGATTGTTTTTCTCGAATCCGATCCTCCTCACTATATAACAAAAATTAAAACTTCATCCAGTTTCCCTTCCCAATTTTCTCATATTCACCGTAACTTTTTCCCCCTATTTACACTCGTTCTTCCCTCCTTTTCCCCTTCCTCTTTGCCAGAATCAGGTATGATCGCTATTCCATTTTCCCCCTTTCGAATTCATATCGAAATATATCTATCAAGTTTGTAACTTTAACCTGATTAGGGTTGGGAACGTGGTTGTTTTTTTAAAAATTAAGTTTTTGATTTTACGTTGGATATGTGATTATTTCATTGTTAGCATAATTATAATAAATTTAGGGATTTGAAGATTATTCTTGTGTGTTTTCTTTTCTAAGCATAATTTAGGTTTCAATTGTTGAATTATATTGTGTGAATTTAAAAAAATAATTAAATTTGGGTTTGATTTTTTTTGTCACATTTATGCTCTTTTGATTTGTCGGTGAATTGTGTCTTCTTTGTGTTTACTTTTCTGGGTTTTTCTTATTTTCATGAATTCCTTGTAGATTTTATTGTCTCTAATGCTTATAAGACCCCATTTGAACATGTAGTATAGATTATAAATTAATGAACTTTTAAGTGATTTAATGCATGTTTGCAATTGCAACCAATGTTGTTAAAATCGTGATCATGTGATCCTAAGATGTCGTCGGAAGAAACCCATCTGTGTGCTGCGTATGAGTTTCGCATTTTTGTCTTTTCCCTGTCGCAGGTCTTTCTGTGTCGTTGCATCGCCTGTGTAAATAACCATCTATGTGTGAACATCACATTGTGTCTCTGGTTGTCATTTGCTACCATGTTTGTGCCCTCTCTGGAAGAGGAAGAGGCCGATGGAGGGCGGCGGCTGGGAAGAAATGAAAGTTAGGATTTTGTTTCTGTTGAGAGAAGGATATTGGGCTATTTAAGGCCCAATTCATAACATTGGTTTGGGCTAAGTTTTATTCATGGAGGCCCAATACTAAATTAGGAAAAAAATGACGAATATTCCCTAACTATATTTAATTAATTAAATGAAATATTTTCATTATAAAATTAACTAATACAATATTTCTTAACTATTCATAACTTTTAATTTCCTTAAATCAACTTTATTTAAATGGAAAAGGATTAATATAGTTTATGTAATGTGTATGTAATTTTTTATTTATTTTGGTAGGATCTTACAAAATTGGTTACGATCTTTGATATCCCGCTAGCCCCCTCTCGCTCCTAGGTATTTATTGGAGTAGAAATTAGAATTTACAATTCTAGTTGCGATCTTGTTACCCCTCGTGATCTTAGTCATGATCTCGGTCCTGAGAACATTGCTGCGACAATGATGTAATGACTAGCGAGGGAATCTGCTTATGTATTTCCTTGCCCGGATGTTTCTTTTCACGGCTATTGAATATTGTACGAGGATGGGGTAATTGTAGTTTTTCTGAGACCATGAATTTAAAGGCACTGTCAGAACTGGGTAGGCCATTGTTACAGTCAAACTGTGCATCCATGTACAATAAGCAATTGATCTAGTTGTGAGGAGTGTAGAATTGACAGTTTAGCATCAAATATCTCCAATTTTTACTATTTTATGCGAAATATTATATATATGTATTAGTATAATTTAAGATTGGTAGAGCCTTATGATCCTCGAGTTACAATCTTTTAGCCTCCTATCACTTGGGTAGGATCTCAAGTTTAACAACATTGGTATATGCAGTAGATAGCCAGAATGTATATGACTGAGACATGTTATTTCCGTTGTTTTTTGGAAGGGGTGCTATATCTGTTGTTAAGAATGTTAATTCATTCTTGAGTTTTCATCTAAAAGAATAACGTTTTCGAAGAGTTGGGTTTTGATATATTTAAGGACAATGAAGATTTTTTGTTTTTCAACATGTTATTGATAAAGGTAGTGTGATAAAGCTTCTAACCTTCCAACATGGCGGGGTCTAGAAAAAGATTGGACCTGCTGCAGAGGGCTAAGTCCCTTCATTTCTGCAGATAATTTTAATCCTTCTCCTTTGGGGGAACTTAGTCTCTTAACTAGTGTGTATTTCCTCTGTAGTTAAAATCTGTGTAATCAAGTGTTTCCTATTTTATTGCGGTGCATTTGTTATATGCTTTATTGCAGTTCATATATTTGAAAATTGAGAATTACTATTAAGCATAATATAGATTGAGAAATGTCTTTTTGGCACATCTCATCTCTGATCTGGAGTATATTTGATATCTTTCCAGTGCTTAGTGGTTGATTACACCAGAAGGACTTCACTATTACAAGTTACCAAGGGCAAGTTTCATGTCTGAGTTTGACACAAACATCCCAACAACTTTTGGTGGGTGTTGAATCTCTTAAGTTCAAGTATTCTTAAATCAAGAAATTTAACACGAGATATGTAACAATTTCTTGTCAACAATTTAGCGTTTGTTGCTGATATGGTATGTTAATTGATTAGATCCCTTTGCTGAGGCAAATGCTGAGGACTCTGGTGCCGGTGCCGGGACAAAAGAATATGTTCATGTCCGTGTACAACAGCGTAACGGAAGGAAAAGCTTAACAACTGTTCAAGGGTTAAAGAAAGAGTACAGCTATAGCAAAATACTCAAGGACCTGAAGAAAGAATTCTGCTGTAATGGTACTGTTGTCGAGGACCCTGAGTTGGGCCAGGTTTGTCTTCTTCTTTTTCACGCGTAAATGTACAATTATGCAATCTTTTTAATTTGCAATCGAATGAAAAAATGCATCTAGTGGAAATTTTTATTTCCTCTCATTTAATGTGGTTCTGTGTATTTGATTCTACGTTGGCTTAATTTGATCTTAGTTAAAATGAGTTAAAAATAAAATGATTTATATTGGATACCATCACATGAAAGTGAATTCAATCACAAGTTTGTGTAAAAACCATGGTTGGGTACAAAAGCTAAAAATCCAAAAGCATCAATTTAGAATTATTTTAAAAGGAAAAATCAATTCTGATAAAATACACCTTAAACATGTAAAAATCAAGTTTTATCCCACTAAATTGAGTTGGCTACATGATCAACTTTCGTCACAATGTTTTATCTAAGACATGTTTCTATCCATATTAATCTCCAGGTCTTTTTTAATAACTTATCTTATAATTTTTCTAGGTATTTCTCTACCTTTAGTTGTTTGACTTCTCTCCATGTAATATACATGTCTTCTCTCTACCTACTTAAATAAGTCTATTTTTCAGCATCTTTTCTATTATAGGTGCTACTCCAACACTCTCTCAAATATTGTTATTTCTAATCTTATCTTGTTTAGTCTTACCATACATCCAACGCAACATCCTCATCTGTACTACACTTTATTCTCGTGTTGAATCTTAACTGCCGAACATTTTGTTCCGTACAACATTGCAAGTTTTATCGCAGCTTGATAAAATTTTCTTTTCAGCTTGAGCGATACTTTTGTGTCACATAAAGCCCTCATCCATTTCAGCCAAGATATTTAAATGTGTGTGTGATTTGTGAGATGATATGGTCTCCAACGTTCACCTCTAGGTTAGAAACACTTCTCCTTTAGTTGAACTTACATTTCATATATTCCGTCTTACTTCTGTTTAAGCAAAAATCATGCGTTTCTAAAGCTTGTCTCCAAGTCCCTAACCTCATTTAAATCTTCCTTCGTCTCATCAAATAGGACTATATCATCTACAAAAATGAATCCTAACATACAATTGATAGGTGTTTTATCCGGTATTATAATTTATTCTCTTTATTGTCAGTTAAAGCCTAAATTTTAGTTGTGTATGGATGCAGGTCATACAACTTCAGGGAGATCAAAGGAAGAATGTTTCTACTTTCCTTGTGCAGGTAAGCATTATGTTTTTGTCTAAATTATTATGTGCCTAATAATGTTCTGTCTCTGTAACTTTGTCTATGGTGTTACAAACAGGCTGGCATTGTAAAGAAGGAGAATATCAAGCTTCATGGCTTCTAAGACTAATCAAAAGTGTGCAATTTAGCAGCTACATGTTAAATACTTAGCATGCAGACTACAGTCAATATCATCTGAATTCAAGAAATCAGTCATAGCAACATATTGTGGTTAAACAGTTTTATATAATCTACTTGCTACATATTTTGGATTAGTATTTGCTAGGTTACTTATGATAAGGATTAATGTCTGCTTCTGTGACAAATATCTTGAATAAATTTGTCATAATTTCTACCCATTGATGCCTGATTGCTTTCTGTTTAGCGCCATAATATTAATGCATACATTTGTGGTATTAATTAAACATTTATATATCAAAATTGTAGTAGTTAAGATCTTTTTTCTTTTAAATTTTTTATTTATTTTAATTTTAAGAAATGAAAATGATCTTTGAGCAAGGTTTGCATTATTCTCTTTTAGATTGGATAATCTATCGGAATCATTCAAGTCACGCAAAAAGGTTTTCTTGCAACCATTGAGTTATTTTACCAGCAATTATTTTGTTATTTACTTTATAATATTTTATCTTCGATAAGATTCAATTTAGATAAGTAAATTGAGCATCATATTATTCTTGTAGACATTAACGATAATGGGTAGGTGATGTGGGACAGGATAAGTGGAAATAATGAGATTTTAGTTTTTTTTTTTGTTTAGAATCAAAAATTTGATCGATCAAAAAAGCAGATAAACACAAGGCAATTCCCAAGGATTCAGCCACTAAAGCAAAAAAGACAGAAAACAAAACACTAACTAGGTAGCATTATTCTAGCTATATGTCTTCTAATTTTAGGATTTTTTTTTCAACCTTTATACACAATAGTGTATGATTTTCTCCTCTATTTGATTGTTTTTTTTTCTTACGAAAAATCCAATATCATTAAACAGCAAGAGAAGAGGAGTTTTGAGCCTCCATGTCTATATAAGTAGGGATGATAAAAAAACCCGTGCCCGCGGGTATCCGCGGATATAATCCGTCACGGATACAATGTGGATAGCTTAATGGATATCCATGAATATTTAAATGTCTGTTATTTAATGGATGTGGATGCGGGTTTAATGATACCCATATCCGCAGATATCCATACCCGTTAATAAATTATAAAAAGTATTTAAATATTTTAAATTTATTATAGACGTCATTACATCTTTCAAGAAATTTAGTCTTTTCATATTTCTTTTTTTTTAACGTTTTCTTAAAAGAAAAAAAAAACCTTTCACATTCTAAGAAAAATCATATTTAGTCATTTTATATTTATTTAGGCTTCTTCTATATTTTAAACCTAACATCTCTTTCACTTTCACAATTCCACTGTCCAACTCCAACCCAAAGAACCAGTACCGTCTTTTCTCTATCCAACACTGCAACTCAGAATTCTAATTTCCTAAATGATTAAGGTAATCTATCTACCTTGTTACATTTTATTCTTGTTCTTGCTATTTTAATTTTAATTTTGCTTGTTGCAACACTGAAGTAGTAATAGGTGGGACTGCAAAATAGTTTCTTATTTTAAGGCAATTATAATACAAAATACTAAACCCTAAACTAGTAAAAAGAAGAAGCACTATATACATTCTTTTTTGTTTCATTGATATAAAAATGATATTCATGTGTGCCTATTCTTTCCATCTATAGGCTCTTTCATTTATTGCTATATTCATGTGTTATAATAAATTATTATTTGACATATTCTTATTTCTTTTCAGGTTATACCAAATCAAAAGTTGAGGTTATTGAAATTAATTCAGTATTGAAAGATATGGATGCTGACATTATTAGTGAATGAAATTGTTAGTGTATCTTATAAGATTTGGTTACAAATATCACTGTTATTTTGAATATTTTATTTGGAATCTTTTAAGCTTTTAATTTAGGAGCTAGGAAATCAAAGTATGAATGTTAAGTAAGGAATGCATAATATGGAATTTTGTAATGATTGATGAAAACTATTTGCATTATTACTTTTTGTTTTATTTAAACAATTATTATATGGTATGATGAATTTTATTTTGTTAAAAATGAAATGTATGGATATTATGTTTGAATGTTATTATGTTTTAGTGAAAAAAGAATGAAAATAATATGATGAAGTTTAGTTGTTAAATTGAGAGCGAAAAAATATATTTTTAAAAAATAATTTTAGACAAAAAAAGTTATTCATGGATATCCGTAAATATCCGCGAATACCTTAAAACCCGTGGATTACTCGCTTAACTGATATCCGCATGGATATGGGGCAGATACGGATATCATATTTATCCAACGGGGCAGACACGGATATCATACTATCCACCCCCATGGATATCCATTTACATCCCTATATATAAGAGGATAACCTCCAATCCAAATTCTGAAACCAAAAGCTTTACCCAAACCAACAACGTTATGGACATTATGATTAAACTCTATTAATAAACATAACAGAACTGAATTTAAAAATTTTAAGTAGGTGCCTACATAATCATTGATACACTCCATTGCAGCAAGAGAGTTAGACTAAATGATTAACCTCTCTACCTTCAACTCCAAGGCAAGAACCAAAGCCCACCTGATTGCAAGAGTTTCTGCTACCACCGGAGACACGGACTTGCTGTCTTTTTTGCTAGCTGCAAGGAAGATTTCAGAAATTTGATTCCTTATTATGCAACCATAACAAGCAACTTCATCCTCCGAGAATCTATCATCAACCTGCAAGACAAAAACTTTCCCAGCAATAGAGTTCAAGTCAGGTTTTTTGCAAACCACCTCTCTACGTCCACTCATAAGATTTAAGCAGTTGAATTCATCCACGAAATTCAAGGCCTCCAAAGCCACCTGATGAGGTTCTGTCATCTTTTGATCATACAAGATCGAATTACGAATTTTTTGCGCCATAGTGCATAACAACTGCATACTCAGCACGTCCCCACATTTGAGGATCTTCATAAGCCAATCCTGGATGCTCAGGTCACCCGGGGCTTTATATCCCAGAATTGATGAAAAGAAACCCTGTTTGGCAAAATCACAGCCCAAGAACAAATGGTGGCTGGTTTCCACCTCAGAATTTAAAAAAAAAAAAAGTAGAATCCATCAGAATACCTTTGCTACACATGTTGTCCTTGGATGGAAGGATGTTTTTTGCTAATCTCCACAGAATGTTTCGCGTCCTGGCATGAATATTCACCTTTCATATCTCTTTCCATAAACCTTGAAAAATAATACAAAAGGGACCGGGATTCTTAGCACATTTGATATTTTGGAAGATATAGTAAGCAGATTTAATAGAGTACTCCCCGTTCCTCTCAAAATGCCACAAGATCTTATCCTCATTGTCTCTAAAAGAGAGAGGAATACTGATGATATGTTTGGCATCCTCAAGATCAAAACTAGCCTCAATCAGGTCCTTCTTCCAAGTTTTAAGATCTTATCAATGAACTCTTCCACTTTGGTTTCCTCTTGAATACCTCTACAGGCCTAAAAACTTTGAAACCTGAATTATCAGGAATCCATCTGTCATAATAAACAACTACCTTTTCCCGTTCTCGATTCTCCATCTAGCCCCGTGGTTTATTATCTCTCTCACACTCAATATACTCCTCCACACAAAACTTAGAGTGTAACCAATAGAGCATTCTTCAATTGTGGTCCTGGGATAATATCTTTCTTTAAAAACCCTCCCAAACAAAGAGTTCTCGTTAGTGAGCAAACACCAGTAGTGTTTTCCCAGCAGGCTCGAATTAAAATCACTGAAACTTCTGAATCCTAATCCCCATTCACCCTTACTCTTCGCTAGTTTTTTCCAACTCATCCAATGGATTCTCTTCGCACCACCCCGAGCCCCCCACCAAAAATTAGCAATCATGGACTCAATCTCATTACAAGTAGACTCATGTAGCTTGTAACAACTCATGACATATGTTGGGATAGCTTGAGCCACGACTTTGATTAAGACCTCTTTTCCCACTCTAGAAAGGAACTTATCTTTCCATTCCTTAACTTTCTTCCACACCCTATTAGTAACCAACTTAAAAATCTGTCGTTTTGACCTATTAAAAACCACTAGAAGCCCCAGATACTTTGTGTGACGTGGAACAGTCCTGACACCCAACTTAGCATGTAACTCTTCTTGATTCTCATCATTCACTTTTCTGCTGAAAGAAACCTTAGGTTTTTTGAGATTCACCACCTTCCCAGAAGAAACTTGATACCTTCCCAAAACAGATAAGATCTTCCCAACTTCTTGTTGGCTAGCTCTGGCGAAAAGCAGGCTATCATCAGTGAAAAATAGGTGAGTAATAATAGGTGCCTTGCGAGCAACTTGGATGCCATGAAGTTGTTTTCTACTCATCTCCATTTTGATCAAATCTAAAAGAACATCGACACATAAAATGATTAGGTAAGGTGAAAGGAGATCTCATTGACGGAGACCCCTCTCCGGAGTAAAACTAGTACTAGGTTGCCCATTAATAAGAACTTTGTACATAACAATTAAAATGCATTTGTTGATAACATTCACCAGGTCTTGGGGGAATCCCATAGCAGATATCACTCCACTAATGAAAGCCCATTCCAACCTGTCATAAGCCTTAGACATGTCCAACTTTAGAGCTATGATCCCCTTCTTCCCCTTTGTCTTCTTTTTCATCCAATGGAAGCATTCCACTACCACAAGAGAATTATCTGTGATGAGACGACCTTTGACGAAAGCACTTTGTTCTTCATCAATGATGTATGGAAGAATTGTCTTGATCCTGTTGGCGATGGTCTTTGTGATAATCTTCATGATCACGTTACAAAAGTTGATAGGGCGATACTCCTTTGCCTTTAATGGATACTTACACTTTGGGATCAATGCAATGAGGGTATTGTTCAGCTCTCTGGGATCTGCGTTGTTATTGAGAACTTCCAGGACCATGTTGCAAATATCAGTCCCAACTGTATTCCGGTATTTGTGAAAGAAAAAGGCGGGCAATCCGTCAGGATCGAGGGCTTTTAACAAATGCATCTGAAAGAGGGCAGTCTT